CCCCATCCCCCTCATGCTCATCCCCCTCCCGGCCCCGCGGCAGCGCCCTTGGCCGTGGTAGCGTGCTCTGTGGCACTGAGTGAGCGGCGACTGTGCTTCTAGATAGAATTTTAAGATTTTTTTTTTTTCTTCTTCCTGGAAATGTGATATTTTTTCTCATTCTTGTAAATGTCCCTTTGTCACATTTGTTATTTTTTAATTTCTGCCCTTTCTGGTGGTTTTATTTATACAAAATGTATCAGAAGATGAGAGAAATTAGATCTTTTTTATTTTTTTTTTTAATGACAAGATGTTTATAGCGTCTTCTGATGTCTCCAGTGACTTTTGACACCAAAGTTGTTAGGAATCTGAATTTACGGTACTCTTGTGTTGCATAAGGTCAGGCTCAAAGAATGCACTTTAAAAAAAAATTTCCTTACTTCTCTTTTTGTGAGTGCCTTATGCCTTCTGATAACCTCCCAAACTCGTCCTAATCCTGGGCACCTGCAGGCTTGGCAGCTATTGTGCGAATCATAAAGCATGAGTACTGAATGAAAAATAGAACAATTGCATAATTAACGGTGTGGGCTGAAGAGAAAATTGTTTAAAAGTAGAACATTATGCTGGAGCAGCTAAGTAATTAAATCCTGCCCTTGTAATGCTCTTCACTTTTTCTTTACTGTGCCCTGACTGTACTCTAAGTCATCCAGAAGTTTTAAAATGCTGTAGTTTGCATAGGCTAAAATCACATCTTACTCAAATGGCCTGTTTGTCTGCTTAATTAACTTGGAAAACTCTTGCTCTTTGTTACTCTGTATCTCAAAGAGGATCAGATCTGGGAGAATCAGATTAGGCTGGGACGTTCCTCTGTGTCTGTTCTCCTGCACTTGAAGATATGTCTGCACCAGAGGACTGTATCCTACCTGAGGTAGCAAGCTATCTTAATTTGGCAAGTTTTTTTTCATTCTTTTTTTCTTTTACACTTTACAGAAACGGAAGCTCCAGTTAAGCCCAGAGCAATGTAGCAACTTTTATGCAGACCAATACGGAAAAGTGTTTTTTCCTAATTTAACAGCCTATATGAGTTCTGGACCTTTAGTTGCTATGGTGCTTGCCAGACATTGTGCAGTCTCATACTGGAAGGAATTGCTTGGACCATCAAACAGCATAAGGGCTAGGAGAACTCACCCTTACAGGTAATGCACTGGCTGGCCTTCGTGAAGTCAGTAGGGTTTTGTCTTTCTTTTAATTGAGACCAGAATTTCTTTCCTTTTTTTTTTTTTCTTTTACAATGGAGATACAGATTTGGAGAGGCCTGTTATTTCTTCAATTTTGTGTAACATAGCTTCTCACCTTTGTTTTTTTAGTATGTAAAGTTCACCCATTTTATGGAAAATGCTGAGTGCATGAACGTAAATTTTAGGTAGCTACGTATTTTTTTAAAAAACAAAATCAAGCCAGTGCCTTGTAAATTGGTCCATAAATATTGCTTTTATATGGTCTCAGACTGTAGAGACTTGGAAGGGATTTGCAGTTGCCTACCAAGCAGTGTTTTCTCTTGTTTTTAGCTTGAGAGCAATCTACGGGACTGATGGTCTGAGGAATGCACTTCACGGCAGTCTCAGCATTTCCTCAGCAGAAAGAGAAATTCGATTCATGTTTCCAGAAGGTAAAATGGTGCAAATAATACATTGCTAGTCTTTGGGAGGATAGCATCCTTCCCTGTTATTACTTGTCTCTGTCCAGACTCTAGATACAATTGGATTTAGAAGAGGTTGGGTTTGTTTGCCTTATGAGAATGCGAGCCCCTTTATGTGTAAGCTGAAACTTTCTGCTATGAAAGGCATTCCAAAATGTATCTGAAGAGCCATTATAGTTACAGGGGTTGCTTCTGCTTTTCAAACTCGGTGGTCTGGGAATTGGAGCAGACAAAGCTGGTAAATGAGAGGAAATGGGAAGCTATTACACCCCAGCATATCTTTCGGGCACTGTCAGCCGCGGGGACTCCTGTCGGCTTGAGAAGACTGACTCTCTTCTTGGGCTCAGGTTGAGTAATTCCTGTTCAACAGCAGCTGGATGCTCACATGATAGTGCAATTCCGAAGTTAAGTGCTGGAGAAATGGGCCATAGAATCTGGAAAAGCTGGGAGAGGATCTCTTGTTTGTAATGTAACAGTTGAAAGATGGCTTTGCTCTTCGACAGAAAGATACAAGAGAAACTGCTAGAAAAACTTGTCTGATTTTGTCAACTGTATCAGTTAGTGTAATAAAAGATGTTGCACTTCCCTACAAACCTTACCCATTGTAAACCATGTCTCTTCTCCTCACCCTAATGACAAAGCAGGACTTAAGGTGAGATTTTTAGGGTCTTCAGAAACCCACTTCACGCTGCAGGAAGTACTAAACGTGGGATATATTGTTTCTCTCCTGCCCCCAATGCATCTTCAAGGGTACAGGTTTTCCCCAGATGATCCGATTTCCTCCCCTTTCATAGTTGGCTATAATTAGTAAGGTTACCTCAGGGACACTGTAAAGGGGTTTAGGTAGTTTCTTTGCAGTTTATTGTGGGAGAAGCTATAAAACCCGTTATGTATTATTAACTTACTAAGGAAAACAGCAGCTCATGTATAAACAACCTTTGAAAGAATGCCTTTTAATCACTCTACAAGCTGCTTTCCAACACCTGTGGTTACTCTTTACAGTGATCTTGGAGCCAATTCCGGCTGGACAAAGAGCTAGGGATTACCTGAACCTTTGTGTGAAGCCTACCTTACTAGCTGGGCTCACTGCGCTGTGTAAAGAGAAGCCAGCAGATCCAATGGTATGTACAGTGTATCAGTATTGTGTTGTATGCTTTGTGAAACATTTACTTCGTACTAGTGAAGTCCCTGTGTATAGGAAAGCTGCTCTTTTCTTAAAGAGCAGTGCTGTTTTAGCTACCTGCTAATGAGCTAATCAAGTAACATTTGCCTTTCAAGAAGTTGATTGGTTTGTTAACAGGTGAACTGAGGGCCAGGACTAAATGACATCAGCCTTGATGAAATGACTTCTGTAAAACTTTCTAACACATAGTTGCTACAGATGCCTGGAAAGGTAAATGATGACATTTATATGACATCATATGATGTCAAGTATAAGTTTGTACTTTATTTACTGTTTCTGAGGTGAGTTTGAGATGAAATAGCTCTCATACAATAGATACTAAGTGAGATTAGATGCTAATCACACTGGTAGTTACACAGTTGAGTAAAATACTGTAGAGTTCTTAGCAAGGCTGTTTATATTTTGTTATTGTTATATTTATTTAAATTAGCATTATCAATCCTTCTTTAGGATAAGCTATTATTTTGACTATACAGCATTGATTAGCATTTACTTGGGTTGTTCCACAGTTCACCAGGAAAATGAATTATGAGTCTTTTGTGTGAAACCTATCCTGAATAGTCAAACTGACCTACAGAAAATTCTTCTGTCTTCTTGTGACCCCTTTTTAGTTATCAGGTTGATACATCTTGCCCTCCTCTCACATATTATTCCTTTTAACCACGGATGTCATTCAAATTACAGTTCTTAGTGAAAAGACTAGAGTTAATTTCCTGGGGTTTTTTGTTGGTGGTGTTTTTTTTTTTTTCCCCAATCCCTAAACAAAATTAGCTTTCTTTTGTCTGGAAAAATATGGTAAATGTTTTTTGTATTCTTAAAGTTCAATTCGTTCATGCTAGTACTTCTTTAAGAATGCAGATAATTAATCAGTGTGACAACTTACTGGTGGTTGTGGTGGATTCTACATCATTATCAGGTTTTTAATCAACATTGCATTTTTCTAAAAGATACATTTCAGAAAAAAAAGCTTGAAAAATAATTCAGGGGTGTTTCTATGAACTATGTGGTATACATGGGGTCAGATTAAATGTACTGTGATTGTTCCAGCTTTATAACCTGTTCACTTTATCTGTATGTCTGGCACTGTTACCATAGAAATCTAGAAAACAAAGATGAAGAGGTCTTTTCATCCATCCCTTTGCCCAAAGGCCAGGCCAATTGTATCTAACCATTCCTAACAAATGTTTGTCTGGCCTGTTCTTTAGCACTCCAAATGATGGAGAATCTACAATCTCCCTAGGCAATCTGTTTCAGTGCTTAATTATACTTAGTTGAAAAGCTTTCACTAAAAGTTAGCCTAAATCTCCTGTGCTCCAATTTTTAGCCCATTACTTTTTTTTTTCTTTTACTATCCCCATAGGACATTGGAGACAATGTAATAACTCCCTTTTTTTTCAGCAACCTATTGCATATTTGAGGTGCATTACCATCTTTTTTTCCCTTCAGTCATCTCTTCACTATATTACAAACTGATTTTTTTTCCTCTTAACTTATAAGTCATGTTTCTCTAACTAATTTTTTGGTTTTGCTTCCAATTAATCTCTGTATTCTGAGCACAATTTTCTAGCCAGTTACGCGGTAACTAATAGTAACTTCATTGAGACCATGCTTTCCTTCCTTGCTTGTAGGAAAGCTATAAAGCTATATGAAGCAGTGTCAATAGCTTTACTAAAATGAAAACATGATATTTGCTCCTTCTTCCCTGTCCATAATGCCTGTGACCTTGCAACAGAAGAAAAATAACGTTGATTTGATACAACTTTTTTTCAGAAATATATGTTGGCTATTGCTTTTCAGTTTGTTATCTGCTAGGTGACTTACAGGGAGATTGATGGATACTAGAAAAAAGAAACAAACATTCCTTCCAGGAACTGAAAAACTGAAGTTGGGGTGATTTGGCTCTTTTTTTTTTTTTCTTTTTTTCCTTTCTGAAGATGGCATCAGAAACTATCTGTCCACTCAGAAATACTTGCTAGCAGCACAGAAGTTGTCTCAGCCAATTCCCTAAGTAACACAGGATAAGTTTAATCAGGCTCAAATGACTTAAAAATTTCTCGTTTTCCCAAGTAGTCTTTCTAAGGGCTTTTGGGCTTTTGTGGTTTTGGTTTTTTTGGGTTTTTGTTTGTTTGTTTTCCATTTCTGTCTTGAGTTCTTACTGTTCTGCTATTGCTGACTAACCTGTGAGGACTGTCATAGTGCTCTGCTTGTTGTCTCTTTCTTTGCAAACCAATCTTTTTGTACCAGGTAATAAAAGGAGAGTGTTGCTTACCTTACTGGTCTACTATTCTATCATTTCTTTCACTTCACAGTATGGTATGAAGTTTGTTGTACTTAGCATTCCAGAAACTGATAGTCAACAGCCTTGTGAAGTAAATAAGGATGTGTTAAAAACTTCTCTTTACAAGTGGAGAAATCGAGGCAAAGGGTTAATTTGCCTAAGGCCAGGCGGAGACATTGGCAGATGAGGTTAGGACTCATGGCATTCCTACCTCCCACATTCTTATTTAAGTACAATGTGCTAGAAAACTTAACAAGATGAATTTCAGAAAGTAACCATGTTTTGGCTTTAAGTTTTAGGTACTATAAGGTGATTTCAGTGCAGAAGACTGGCACTTTCAATGAATGATTACAGATACTTTATCTAGTAAGTGTTGTCAGGAGTAATATTTCATTAAGCAGTTTCATGCATATTGTACAGCCTCATTCCAAAACAGAGTTGATCAGATTATTTGAAGTATGGCTCAAATGTTCTTATACAGACACAAAAATAGACATTACCAGGAAAAGTTGTCTTCTAAAGTCAGTGTGAATTGTTCAGAATCAATGTAAGCTGTGAAGATTTAAAAGAACACTTTGAAAAAAACAGGTTATTCATATATACATTTTTTCTGGAAGGTCTTCATTTTGCAGCACGGTAGGAGAGTGTCTGTATCGGAGGTTTCAAGTAATGCTTTTAATATTCTCCCATACACCTAATAGAAGACAACAGAAAACTGAAAATGTTTGGGTTTTTTGTTCCACAGACTTGGCTTGCTGACTGGTTGATTGAACACAATCCCAATAAACCCAGGCTACAACATCAGATCACTGAGGAAGAGCATCAGGGGTGAGAGCTCAGTGGAAATCATCTCAAGCATTCCAAGTTACAGATATATATTATAATTTTCAGTGTACCCCTTGGCTATGTAATCAATATTATCTGAAGTAAATGTTATTGTCACAACTACCTGCATCTTCATGGGATAAATAACATTACACTTAACCAGGATTTAATAGTTCTAGTAGCTTTTCTGTTGACAAAGTGAATGTAGAATTATGTGATAAATTTATGGTGTCAGGTGATTAGAAAAAGTCAAAATTCCCATCAGGTGTGACTTAACTGCTATTTTCCCTATTTATCTTGGTTTGGCTGTCTGGGGAGAACAACATTATTTACACCAGTACAGATTCCCAAATGACATACAGCTGGCCCGCGCTTTGTGAAACTGAGAGTTGCATTTCAGCATTTTTTTAGCAGATGCAAATTCCATTATGAAGGGAGGTGCTTGGATGTAACTTAGAAAACAATTACTGCAGGCATGTTAGCAACTTTAGAATTTTAATTGCTGATTACGTCACCGAGCTAAGGTCACTCTTGAAGATGATTCACTTGAGCCTGACATATTTTGTCAGAATGGAATTTGAAGGACTTATTTGAAGGTACATTGAATGTCCCTTTCCCATCTCAGTGGCGAAAGGCGCAGTGATTATAAATCAGTCTTTGATTTTCATTAGAAGTTACAAGAAAGTGTGTTTTAGTCAAGGACTAATGCTGTCTTCCAGCATTTGTTTGAAAGAAAGGTGCTTAATTGGAACAGCTCACCTTAAGGGTGTTTTCTGTGTTCTACTGCTCTTAAAAGGTATGCTGATTTCTGTTGCTTTCCCTGTAGCGTTGTTTACCCTTGAACTTGAATGTGTTCTATTTGAGAGTTTCAAGAGAATGGGTTAGGGGCCATGCTATTCAACAGGCAATAGGTTAATCCCGTACTATTACCTTTTCTAAAGTAACTGGACTGTTTTTTTGGGGCGCGTGGGGCTTTTTAATATTCTTCAAAGAGCTGTACTTGCACTGTTAACTTCAAGCTTTGTATCTTACGGTTTCTCTGGCTAGGATGGAGAATACAATGTCATTTTCACAACTCTGAAATATTCGTATGCTTGACTAATACTAAACAAACAAGCAATTTCATAACTTGTTTCATGAAAAAACTTGCTCCCCCAACTTGAGTAATTACCAGAAACATAAGTCTTTTGTCTGTAACATTAAGCTTTGTTTAAGCCAATTGTTTATCTTCTCAGTGGAATAAACCACTGTTGCCAGCCCAGAGAATAAACATGTAGAAAACTGGTCCCTACAGTACTGAGACCTAAAAATCTTGGGACTTGTAGGAGAAGGAAAAAAAAAAGCAAGCCCAAACCCTCAAATATGAAGGAAAAAAATATGAGGTGGTTAGAAATACAGTAAACAGATCTGTTTACAACTAATTTGTTTTGCCTATAATTATTGTCCCCATATGTGTCTGATTGCTCCAATTACAGGACAGTTGTGCTTTGTGGTTTCCTGTCAGCCAAACCAAAAAATTTCTTTTTTGAAGATGCTGGAAACTAAAACCCGGTGAATTCACAAGACACTCTCCTAATTTTGTTAGTTACTATTTTGCTTACTTATTTTGATGTGATGCTGCTTGACAATAAATATCTCCTTTATGTTACTGCTGGAGTTTTCAGTTTTGCTTTTGTGGCAGACCTGTGTTATATTGTACCTAGAGAAGATCATAACTTCCATAGAGAGTGTGTGGGTCCTTACTAGGAGAAAGGGCAAAAGCAGCTGATGTTGCAAATGTTACCTTTATAACCTGTGCTATAAAGCTTTGGTCATTCAAGTGTATTTCTATCGCGGATTTATTCTCTAATACTAGAGCTAACACCTTCAATTGCTGACTGGTGTTCACTTCCATTTATCTAAGGGAAAGGTAGAGAGAAGATACCTTCATCCCTTGGGCGCCATCCTGACTCACTGTATCTGTACACCTAGGGCAAGTATTGATGCAGCAAATCTCACAGCTGAGATCTTGAGGAACCTGCATTAATAAGTAGGATGTGGGCAGAATGTCAGTCCCGGGAACGTAAAATGGACAACCAGCCTGGTCCCCTGGGGGAGCTGTGACACCACCGGAGAGGGTGTTGGAGAACGAGCTGCTTACATTTCTTTTAGTCTTTAGGTTTTTATTTGGCCCAGAGCGCTATAGGCTTGGCCAGTGTTATAAATCCATATCACAGAAAACATAGCTTTGGAAAAAACAGATGATGGTGTCAGCAAGGTAAGCTACTCTCTGTGGGAACGAGTGACCTGTCTTCTCCCTCTATCGAGTCAAAATAATTACCTTGCCTGTTGAGTTTTATTGGGTATTTTTAACTTTGGGGGAGTTCATTTTAGTTTTACTGCCTGAGTGCTGGAATAGAGCTATGTCCATAAAACCAGCAGTTCAGTCTGTTTCCCATAATTCTGTTTTTTCAACAGACTTTTTCCTGGAACTTTGGTTATCATATGCTTGCTATCACCTGCACTGGAAGTTATTCTTGGAACTATACAGATTGAGCTAGTCTGAAGTATATGATTGCTCAGCCTTCCTTGTCTCATAAGGGATTTATTATCTTTAAGAGCAGTTAAACTGCCAGGAACCTTGAACATACTTTAAAGATGGCAGAAACCTCAATCAACGCTAGTTCCTCATTGCCTACGTAAGTCAGAGCATTCTGGCATGCCGAGCTTCAGAAGTGAGTCACTGTTCAGAGCTTAGGACTCGCATTCAGTAACTTTAAGCAAAAAAAAGTGTTACATGGAGATTTGCAAACCCTCGTCTTTCTCATGTAGGAAAAGAAGAGAGGATTTGTCTTCCTTCCTTCGTTCAAGTTATTAATCTTGACCGTCCTTTAAACAACGGTGGTCTAAGCAAAATTGGTACATTGATGATAAACTGATGGATGTTTGTCTCATGGCACTGTATGAAGGGAAGGAGCGATGACAGTTTTTATTTAAAGACACAAGGATCTTAGTTAATTTTAATTCATTACGTCGGAGCAGTGAGATCAAGATAATTCGTGTTATTCTGGACAGCGAATGACGGTCGTTTTTGGCACTACCCAACACCAGTGCATCTTCTGAAAATACTGTGGTGAGAATACTGTGGTTTTTCAATTTCCTTTTTAAAAAAAATTGAAGAGTAATTATTTTTATTTTATTGGAAAGAGAGACTCTTTGCACATCATAAAAAGGTAACTTACAATTGTTTTTGCAGTGCTATTTCCTTTTAGATGTCAGTCAGTAGATTTGTTCTTGGACTAGAAATAGGACTTCAGTCCTCTCTACTGGTTACCTGCTGCTTTGCTTTACTCACACAGACTTAGCTCAAACCAGCATGGCAATGTTGCGAGGACCATCACAGGAAATAGGCACTTTCTTTTTCTGCTGTTGGTGAAAGAGAAAAACCACCTATGCTCCATCAGGAGCAGCTGTCCATACCTAGAAATCTTCCGTAGTCTGGATGAGCTCCTCTGGGTGCGGAGTGTGTCAGCAGCATGACTGATGTGTTGAGCCTCCTTGGGAGGATGCCTGTCAAATTATTGTTATGCTGCCTCCTGCCAAGTGATCATGGAGATGCTGCCATCAGCTCAGGGGAGAGCCTATTGTTGGTCTTCTGAGCCAGAAATGAGGCATTGTTGTAAGACTAAGCAGTTGGTGGGAGAAGAAGGCAGCTTGCAGACAAGTGGGTGACTGATACAGTAATAATGATAACACTAAAGGATTAAGAATTCTCTTCGGTTTACCACTTGTGTTTTACAGCTGAGGGAGGTGATACTTTCATACAAAGTACTTCATGTAGTGGCGTGCTGGGTGTGCTTACATCTGTCTCGTACGGCATCATATTTTGTCCCCTGAGAACACCTGACTGATCCACTCTTGTTCAGCTGTGGTACTATTCTGAAGCATGATTATTTAAAAAAAAAAAAAGACACTGGTACCGTATATGCAACTCTTCTACCATCATATTTACTTTATTTAAAAGTCGTCTTACCTGGGATCTCTGAGTCAGCCTGGTTAGATCTTCTGTATTACTAGAGAGAATTGCGAAAGGCAGTTGGGTGCAGTCTGTCAGCCCCAGACTGCCTGGGTGAGCAATCGCATATGAACTCACCCTAAATTCCAGGGAATTTTTATGTGCAAGAACCTAATTTGGCTCTAAATACTCTTGCCTTTAGTAAACTACTCTGCAAACCACCCATGCTTCTTTATCATCTATTTATAGTCAACGCCTAAGCTCTCATTTCCTTGCAAGGGGACAGTTGTTTTTTTGTTATGTTTCCAGAATCTGCACTGATTGTCAGGGTAGGAAATTCTGCACTTCCAAAAGCAACATCTTATTGCTATGCTGGCTATCGGTTCTTATCTCATTTAGGTGTTGTAAAGTTTTTTCTTACTGGGGTGAATGACGGCAATGTTTTGTGCGTTTTTAGTTTTGTGTCAGGCCTCGTCTCTCTATGTGAGAAAATTCCCAGGAGTATTTAACGTACGCGTGCGGATAAATCTCCTGCATGCCCCATAAAGTACTTTACTATGGGCCAATATAAAGCAGTCATTACGGGGTGATGTTTAAACTTCTGAGATTAACACAGTCTCTCAATTGCACTTACTTATTTTTATAATGTGTAATTTAGCAACTGAACCGTGAAAAGTTATGGCATAGCAAGGTCGTCTTAAAAACAGTGGTTCCAACTGTGCTTTCAGTTTGCTTCATTGTAAATCCAGAGCAATTCCATTCTCTTAGTTAAAAGAAAGACGGAAAATCGGATCATTTCTGGGAGCTGCTCAGCTGGTACGTTGTACATATGCCTGAAATGTATTGTCAGATGTTGGCATGGCACATTCTCTGCTCCTGTTGAAAGCTAAGAGTTTGTGCCAGATTTCTCTGGAGCCAGATCTGGACAATACTGTTGTCTGCATGCAGAACACTTTGTCATTTGCTATTTTGCTAAGGGAGTTGTGCAATGGTATTTTTGCCTGGACGAGGAA